TTAATTCGTCAGTTAGGTACTACAAGGGATTGACACGAGATAACAGTGACAGAGAACAACTGCAGCAGAACAATGGAATAGCAAAGTTGCCAGCATCACTGCTCTTGGTTATTACCAATCAAAACAAGCAGCTCTCCAGACACAGAATGGGTGTCCTGTGACAGCCCATGCAGAAGTGAGATGGCCATGAAGTGAGAGAGTCACAGGTGGACAACATACACAGCATGGATACTCCCAACAAAAAGATAATTCATGCCCCATGTAGGGCACGGCAGGGTGGGGTGAGACTTCACCTTGTACCTCAGAGTAACATGTCACTGAAAATCCATGAGCTGTTTATTTCTGGAATTCTTCACTTCATGTTTCTGAACCATGGTTGACTATAGGTGACTAAAGCTGTGTAAAGTCAATCTACGGCTAAGGGGGGGGGGTACTATAGCTCCAGTAGGCATGCTGCGTTGAATCCCTTCCTGAGAACAGCTGCCACCTGCTCAGCAGGCAGAAGGCATCTGGGAATGCATCCAGGGCTGGAAAATGTGGCATTTTCTATCCAGACGTCCTTAAGGATCCTGAGTTTGTGTTCCTCTTTCTGTAGAGCAGGAGCTGTGATGTCTCCTTGTTTGCTCCCCTGAAGGAGAGAGGTGGAACTGTGGTGCAGTGGCTTAAACAGCTGCCTGCAACAGCAGCATGCAGCTCCTGCGAATGCACCTGGGAAGTCAGCAAGGGCGGCTCCTGCTGTCCACATGAGAGACCTGAACGGAATCTTTGGTTCCTGGCTTCAGTCTGGTCCAGCTCTGGCTGTTGCAGAGTGAAAAGCAGATGGGAAGATCACTTTCTCTGTCTGTTCTTTTGTTACTCTGTAATTCTGCCTTTCAAATAAACAAATCTTTTTTTTTTTTTTAATCTCAGTGCAGTGACAGTGGTCAGACAGCAGTAATGTAGAGAAAAGGCTTCTCAGGAGTCCTACAGCTCCCACGTTCCTGTTGTCACCATAGCTCTGCCACATGACACCTACATCTGTCTAGCCAGGAAAGGCTTCAAGGTGGTAGTCCTGGGAGTGCCAGGTGGGGGTGGGGGGTACCGTGAGGTGCCATCTGTGTCATGCTTTCGGTAAAATTGGGGAAGCTCCTTGTTCACAGCAACGAATGGGTAAGACTGCTGGAGACAACCCAGGGCTACCTCTGCCCGGTGCAGTGGGGGACCTGAGGGGCTTTCTTTCAGAGAGCTGTTTCAGTTGAGGCTACTGTCACCAAGGAACAGCACGTCACAGCAACACTTCTGCTGCTGAACATCCACTCATCAGGGTGACTGTGAGGATTTACTGGATGAACAAGTCATCACATCTCCCACGTACACAAGTGGATAAATAATCTTGTCCCACATTCACATGACACGGGAAGCTCATCTTCTCACAGCATCTCCCACCAGGCTCTCCTCCCCAGCCCCAGGCAGGAGCATGGTGCTCACTCTCTCAGGGCTGTGTGGTGAAGCTTTGGTTTCTAATCTTGAACTTTAGGAACTCTTCTCATACAGAGCAGCCAGACCCACTTACAAACTTGCCCATGTGGGACAGAATCTCCACAGAGGCAGCTTCTTGGCTGAGAATCTGCCCTGCAGTAGGTCTGAGATGGCACATACACCTTTGAATTTCAGAGCTCTAGGATGGAGGATTCTGATGTGCAATCACTACTGCTGAGAAATTCTTAGCACCTACCAGGACACTCTCTCCTGAACACAAACCTTAGTCAAGCTCCTCGGAGACCTCTTCTTTACCTGGCTTTGACTTGGACTTCTCCATCACCACTCAGTCCCTACAGACCTTTCCGGCCCTGTCTTAGCAAGAGTCCCATTATGTCAGTTTAGAGTTCCTTACTCCTGGATTCCGGCCATATTCCTTTTCCTCCAAAGAAAACCAATGACTCAGACACATGCTGCAGGTGGCTATGCAGCTTGCATTCAAGGAGGGACTAGTCCAGTGGGGGGAGGAGGAGGACGGCATCAGACAAAACTCCAAACACTGCACAGACAAGTGCAAGCTCTTAGCCAAGAAGCAGGGTGGAGGGAAGGTGGGGGGAGTTGGAATATCAATCCCACACCATATTTAAACTCTAAAAAGATCTGATCAACATACTTCTGGTAAAGCTAACACTCCACACAATCTCACTCGTCACACCTTGACTCTCAGTGAGGGGGCAATTGTGCCCTCTCTCCCCTCAGCCATGCTGGTGATATCTGGTGATACTTGGGGACTTTTTGGTCGTTGAAATTCAGAGACTGGCACTGGCTTCTAATGCATGAAGGCCAAGGACAACTGCTAAAGCTGCTAGAGTATCCTGGACTGTCACAGCAAGGAGTGGTCCAGCCCCGAGTCTGCAGTGCCAGGCCTCAGTCAGCCCAGCGTGATTCCTAGTGACAGAGTAGGCCCTTCCGGTGTCAGTTCCTTCACACAGACAGAAGGACCACTGACTGGCCCTAAGCTTCCTGGAGCAAGAAGATAGCAGACAGCCTTTCTGGAGGGAGAAGGGACCATTTGCATCCAGGCTGGGGTATAATATGATCATACTCTGTATTGCTCTGCCCTGCATTTTATAGGTTGCTTTAATTTTCTTAGACACTTATGAAAATTTTATATTCCAACTTCCTCCAACAAGGGTCACATTCACCGAGGCCCCTGAAAAACACTGGCAATGTTCTTCCTATGCTTGTAAGCCTGTGGAACTTAAGATGATTTTTATTTATTTTCATTAACTTGACAGGCAGAGCGACAGAGACAAAGGGACGAGAGGATAGAGGCAGGCTGGGGGAGGGCGGGGAGTGACAGAGATCTTTCATCCATCAGTATACACCCCCAGATGCTCACAACAGCCAGGGCTGGACCAGGATTGATGACCTTGCAGCTCCACAGGCTGGTTGGCTAACTGGTCAGATAATATTCATCAGTGAAGACGGATACCAGCTCCTTACAATCTACCTGCTACTGTTCAGAGGTAGCAGGCGTTCTGGAAACAGAACTGACACTGGATGAGGGCACACAACAGCAGATAGGACTTCTTTCCTGGTATGGAAATGCCAGGTTACTAAGCCCTTTGAAAAGCCTACAAGCTTGAATATTAGTTTATCATGCTCACAGCCCACTTCACCTATCCCAAAGTGTGAAAATGCTAGAGATTTAGCCTCGTGGTCAAGATATCTTAAGCCATATTAGAGTGCATGGTTTGGACACCTGGCTCTGCTTCATTACTGAGCGTCTTGCTAATGCAGTCCATAACAAACATTAGATGATGTTCAGGTACTGTGGTCCTGTCATCCACATGGGAAGCATGAACCTAGCTCCAGGTTTTGGCCTGGCCCAGTCTCAACACTGAGAGTACCTGGGGAGTGGGCTAGAGATGGGAGTGTCTTTCTTGCTCTCTCTCTGTCTCTCTTTCTACCTTTCAAATAAAAATATGAAGCCTGTAAAGGCTATAAGGACTTGAATAACATCCACAAATACCTTTATCCAGTGATTCTTTCAGCATGGCCCATAGACCAGCATTAGCATAACCTGCCAACCTTTTAGAAATACAAGTTCCCAGGGCTGAACATGGCCCAATTGGCTAAATCTCTACCTGCAAGTACTGATACCCCATATGGGCACAGGTTCATGTCCTGGCTATCCCACTGCTCCTCCAATCCCCTGACCGCTTGTGGCCTGGGAAAGCAGTATAGAGGACGGTCCAAAGCGTTGGCATCCTGCGCCCATATGGGAGACCTCTTGGAAGAAGCTTCTGCTTCTGAGTGGCTCAGTTCCAGCCATATGACTACTTGGGGAGCGAACCGGCAGATGGAAGTTCTGTATCTCCCTCTTTCTGAAAATCTGCCTTTTTGATAAAAAGTAAATACATCTTTTAAAAAAAGAAAGAAATGCAAGTTCCTAAAGACTTGAAGACCCAAAGAATCAGAAATCCTGGGTGGGTCCAACAATGTGGAATTTTCAAGCCCTCCAGATAATTCTGATGCACTCTAACACTTGCGCATTACTGCGCACAAACAATGAACTCCCTCATAAGAGGGAGAGTTGAGAGGATTTGGCAAATGAGTCTTCACTGAAAGGAAAAGTGACATTATTTGCTTCCTTGCAGAAAACAGGCAGGTGTTGGTGCTCTGTTTCAACGGGGATGCGTGACTCATCCTTTACACTGGTTTAGATTTCCCACAGTTGTGAAAAGCATGCTTTCAGCACAATATAGGCTTTATGCAGTGGGTGGAATTTCTGTCCTGACTGGTGCAGTAAGAACTGGGGTGGGGTTGTGGCTGGGCTTGTAATGCTGCAGAATTAAGCCACATGACAGCCTGGAGTCAACCATAGTGCATATGATTGTCATATTCACACTGTGACATCTATCTTGTGGTACCTATGTAAATCAGGGTGGGGATGAGGCAAGTAATATCAAAGCACCCATGGGAGGACATAATCCTTCAGAGTGAATGGGTGAAGATAGGATCAACTGTCAAAACACCATGAAGACAAGAAAGAAACATACAGGACACTGGGAGAAGGTACCCTGTGACCCATCCTCCTGCCAGTGTTGTCCCTTCTTTCTCCTTTCACACCACCTGCCTGATGTCCCTTTCTTTCCTACAGTGTATTGTGCTGCAAAGGGAGCTGGAACTGTGAGAAGGCTCCAAAGCACTGAACTGGGTGAAGGGCATTCATGGACCACATGTCACGGGACATCACCTTTTGGGTAGGCTTGGACAAAGTACTGCTACTGTGGTCCTCTGGCTAGCAGGATGGTTATAAGACCTCCCAAACATTGGACAACCACAATGATGTTTGTCATCTTCCAAGATCCCTGGTTCCCAAAGAACTTGACAACTAAAAGCACACTAATGGCCATTATTCATTTCAATCATCTCTACTCAAAGCAGCTTCATTTCTCCCTTGGACCTAAACCTGGAGCGCAGGTATGTGGTGGGTTGTAGAGTGGCTATAGGATGTTGCTAAGCAATGGCCTCACCTTGAGATCTCTGTGGACGATGCCCATTCTGTGGAGATAGTACACAGCATCCAAGACCTGGCGGATCAGCGTGCTGGCATCCTTCTCGGTGTAGAACCCCTTCTCCACTATCCGATCAAACAGCTCTCCACCAGACACACTGTTCAGGGGGGAAAAGAACGATTACAAGTCTGAGAGAATCTGTTAAACTGTGCAGGGAAAATCATCAATCAGAGCTTTCAATGTGACAGAAGATTCAAACTTCATTTCCAAAGTGAATCCATCTTTGTAGTTACATATCACTGCACCTATGCCCACAGAAGTTATGTCCAAGAAGTTCATATATGTCATAGCAGTACACACATTTGGAACAAACTAAAGGGAAGCAAATCACACTGAGACCCATGATCTAGCTACACCTGAGAAGTCTCTGCTGGTCTCTGTCTCATTCTGATGGCATAAAGTCCAAACAGCCTTCTAAATGTCAGCAACAAAGGGCGATGACACCGGAGGAGGAGGTATCTCCCTGGCTAGAGAGCATCCCTCAATGACACAAGGGTGTGCACAAAGCCCTGGCCTCCCCCACGGCATGTCTAAGTTCTTGATCAAGCTCTGTTCTTAATAACTGAGTCATGGGCACTCTCTGAATTATTGAACTTCATCCTTTGAATCTGTCAGATGGAGAAGTTAATCTCATTAGCCATCTCATTTCCATTACCCTTGGAAACAGCAGATCCTCAAAGCCATTTGTAACATACAAGAAAATCAAGAAAAAGTGACACAGTATCACACTGTCCTGGTTTGGGTAACAATATTTCAACTTAATTGCGCTGAATTTCAGGTTCCATTCAACTTTTTAAAAATTTATTGATGTGGGGATTGGATTAGCAAAAGTCACACAACAGTAGACAAACACTGCCACCCTGTCACCTGTTATTTTATGCTGCACTAACAAAGTAATAGAACTGTACAACTCAGAATAGAAAAGCTCAAAAGGCAACTTAAATTTCTAATTTTTGGAATATTTGGTTCTCTTAAAAAATTAGTGCTTCTTTCAAATAATCAAGCCATTTTTGGAATAAACTTCAAGGTTTGTGTTAATACTGGTTAAAAAACCAGGGTCTGACACAATAGCCAAGTAGCTAAATCCTCACCTTGCATGTTCTGGTATGCCATATGAGCACTGCTTTGTATTCTGGCTGCCCCACTTCCCATCCAGCTCCCTGCTTGTGGCCTGGGAAAACAGTCAAGGACAGTCCAAGCCTTGTGACTCGGCACCCACATGGGAGATCTGAAAGAGGCTCCTGGCTCCTGACTTTGGACTGACTCAGTTCCAGTCATTGCAGCCACTTGGGGAGTGGACCAGTGGATGGAACATCTTTCTCTCTGTCCTGCCTTCTCTCTGTAAATCTTTTATTTTTTTTAAATAAATCTTTAAAAAATACCCACAATTTTTCCAAAAAGCAACCTGAAACCAAGACTTCCAATATTAAAAACATAAACTCAATTTCGAAAACACTTTTATAGCTTTAATAGATTTGTCCTAGTCATAATACACTCCAATCCAAAAAAAATCATTCATTTTCTGCCAGTCGTGGCAGCTGATGGGCAATAACTGATCCACTAAAACTACCAGTTGAAAAAAAAAGTTAATATAGGAAAAGAGCATGGTAGCTAGAAAAGGCTTATGTCAGAGCTATTCCAATACCTACAGCCATTCCAAACACTATTATGTTCAGATCATGTTTTCTTTCCTAGGTGGACTGACAATCTAGATGAGAATCAAAGGGTGCCCAGGAGAAATAAAAAGCAACTCAAAAGAAGACAGAAACAACTGGGGATAAATTACATTTTAATAACTGTTCTCTACAGGATCTATCCTTAGATAAACCAAGATTTCAAGACATTCCTTTTCAACCACAGACATCAGCTTGTCTCTAATCTTTTTCTTGAAGCTTCCCCCAGTGAGCTGCAAGGCCTGAAACTGCAGAACTCCAGCACAGGGCTTGGAGGCATTCCCCTCATTGTTTATTCATCTACTCATTCAATGTTCTCGGGGTGCTCATGGCCAGCCTGCCTCCAAGCATGGTTTGCAGCAAACCAGGCAGTATTAGCTGTGCACAAGGAGACGTGTGCTTTGAGTATGCACTTCCACACCCTCTACCACTGACCACCCTCCAAGATCCTCATCTCTGACTGATGATCAGAGTGCTTCCCCACCATGGTCTGCTGTCTTCACTTCCATTCCTCTCCAAGAATGCTCCACTACCACCCTCATCCCCTGTCCTTGCTACCCCATGCCTCAAACTTGGCTCAAACCTCCACCTCCCTCAAAACTCCTCTGGCCTGCTTCCCATTCCCTCAAGGTTCAACCATTTTGCTGTGGGATATGTCAGATATGGACAGTTTCTGCTGAGCAAAAATATGCATACCATCATAGGACACATGTGAAGCATCGGCATCAAAGGTTGCTACAAACGGTCCCAGGGTATCAGTGCTGTGTGCCTTTAACATTCTGATACCTAAATTGACAGTTGCATCAGGATCCCATTTTTCTAAATATTCGTCACAAAGAATTAGGTTTCCTTAAAAGCCAGGGCATAGGGAAAGAACTGAAAATTTGCTAATAAGAAGAAATATCTTAAATTTCAAATCACTTTAAATTTCCTTAAGCTTGCATTTCACACACACACACACACACACACACACACACACACACACACACACACACACACACACAGGGATGGCAGTGCAACATAATGGGTAAGTCACTGCCTGCAACACTGGCATCCCATGTTGTTCAAGTTCCTGCTGCTTCACTTCCAATCCAGCTCCCTGCTCAAGCACCTAGGTAAGCAGCAGAAGACGGTTCAAGTGTTTGGGTCCCTATCACCCACCTGGATGAAATTCCTGATTTTGGCCTGGCTCCGCCCTGGCAGGTGCGTTCATTTGGTCAGTGAACCAGAGGATGGACAATGTCTCTGTCTTTCCCTCTGTTTCTCTGTAATTCTGCTTTTTAAATAAATTAAATATTTTTAAAGTTGGGAGCATAAATATGAAATGTCACCAGAACTCCTACTTTTGAAGCTTTAGCCCCTAGGGCAATGGTATTTGGAGGTGGGGGCCTTAGGGTCACTGGGCTCAGATGAGGGCATGAGGGTGGGAAGCCCATGGTGTGGGAGGTGCTCTGTCCACGAGAAGAGCGGTGCACAGTGCTCTCTCTGTGCCACAGGAGAGCACCAGAATAGAGCCCTCATCAGCATCTGGTCCTGCTACTACGCTGCCTTTACTTGTGTTTGGGAAACCTTCCTGTTGAGGTTTGATAAAGGAATTCTACCTTTGTGCTGTTTGTGAAAAACAGGAGGAAGGATGTATACGGAAATTATTGTCATGCCAGAGGTTTTAAGGGAAAATAGCTAATTTCATCTGATGCAAAGCACTTGTTCACATTCCACAAGATAGTTTCATTAGCAATCATTTACATTGTTCATATATTTCATAGTCATATCTTACTCATACTGACTCTCCAGCAATGTGATTTCTATATTCCAGTGAGAGATATAGAGAAAGAAAATAATAGGTGAACAGATAAATTTGTGCCAGAGGGTTAGAAACACTGTGTGGAGTTGAAGTAGTTCGATGAGTTTCTGGTGCAGTTGGTTCTGAGTGGACTCAGTCTGGTCCCTCAGAATGACAGCACCAGACTGGACCGGAGGATGCTGTGACCCAAAAGGAAGGTCTGGGTGACTGGAGTGGACAATGGAGAGAAGGGTTCAAGGTGAGCTTCAAGCGGAAGGTTCAGCTCCTGCAAGACCCTCTGCTGATGTTCCAACAGGAAGGACTTTCTCTAACCTTGATCATAAGCTACTGGAGGGTATGCAGTCTCAAAGGAGGTAGTTCACCCTTCGAAGAGGCTGCCACTGCTGGAGTTCAGCTTCTGAAGGCAAGAATGGCTATGGGCAGAGGAGCTGGGGGCGCAGGTGACAGCAAATAGTGGCTCTGGCAAGGAAGACCAGGCCTGGTCCGAGGCCTGGGAAACCCAGGATACAAACCTCTGGTGCTAGAACAGAGTGGGACCACGGCTGAGCTCCAGAGTCACATTGTTCTCATTTGCAACAAGGCTAATAACACTGGCTTAAGAATTGAGACAAAGAGAGGAAGACACCTGGGCAAACTCCTGGCATACCTCAAAGGGCAAGCATTCATTCCCTCTGCCTTTTCCCCTGGGGCCACGGGGGCAGGAACACACCACTGATTCATGAGTATTGCCATAAAGGGAGCTGAGGGGAACATGGCATTGCCATCATCATGGGGGGACAGGAGAGCCTTTTTCTCCCTGCTCCCAGATTACCAGCTGAGATTTTAAATGTTTTTTATTGTTCCTCTCTTTTCTTCCTTTGTTCCTTCGTTCCTTCCTTCCTCCCTCCCTCCCACTCCTGTCTTTTTTTGAGATAGCCATGTACTCAGCTAAGATGGAACTGGCGAAAAGTTCAGCCTCACTACACAATCACACCATTGAGCACTGCGACTGCTACCGTGATTAAATCTCCTTCTCTAGCTGCATAAAGCAGGAAAGGCAAGGGCCAGAACACAGTCAAGCCAGGATAGCCCATTTCCTGAGGTGTTCTAGGTTAAAGAAGTACTCATGAACACATCCTGACCCCATATGCCGAACTTCTGAGATAGCCTCAGCTCTGAACTAGCAGATGGTCTTGAATTGCATTCGCTATAACTGTGTGTGTGTGTCGGGGGGGGGGGGGGGATTGTCCTTACTTCTCTGGCCATTACATACTGACCTTAGTGCAATTAGGTCCAATTAAGAAATGTCTACTTGGCAGTACAATTATTTTTCTATTCTGCTCCTGATATAGAAATAATTTTTAATTACTTGAGTAGATAACAACTGAAAGGAGATGGAGATGGTTCTGGAAAATGTCTACGAATATGACTTGGTCACAGAAAGCATGCAAAATCAGTAAATCTCAAGGAGAGAAGTATCCATTTGCCATAAGCATTTCTTGCTCTATCTTGGGGTAAGTGGCTCTGCTCAAAACCAATGCCGACTTAAACCAATTTCACATGCTCAGATTCAGAATCTGAAGACAGCTTGAAAAAGCCCCAATTTTATGACAATTCTAAAAGATACACTTGCAGTCCTTT